CCGCAGCAATGCTAATGTTTGTGACTATGCTGAAGAAGTCAGGCGGGAAGTATTTGTGCTAGTGATTGCCTGGGCTGGGATTTACAAAGGATCCTTTTACGAATGAAAGAACTTTGGCCAGGGCCGATGTCTCCCTGTAACCAGCACTCCGGGCATCCCCAGTCGATGTCCAGGTACTTCTCTGGCCCCCATCACCAGAGTATCTTTAAGGTATTTATCCTCCCAGCAGCTCTTGATATCCCCATTGTACAGACGGGACCTGGGACACAACGAGACTTGCCCAGGATCACAGAGGAAGGCTGTGGCAGAGCAGGGAATTGAAGTCAGGTGTCCAAATGCCCAGGCGAGTGTCCTAAGCATCGCACCGTCCTTCCTGCTTCTTCAGCATTCCAGTGGATCACGGCTCAGAGCACATGGATTGTACGCAGTCTGAGACACTGCAATATGTCTGCATGTGTTTCTAGGGATCACACAACAGGAAGACGAGACACATCCCCGCAGAACCAGGACCATGGATCTGTTTCTGGGACCAGCCAAAACTCCTGGTGAACCATGGGCAATACAAACATCCCCCTCTCCGCCGAAGGGTCAGCCTTGCTAGGAGGAGGGATGCTTTCACACTGAGGAATGTGATTCCCTGGGAGCATCAGCCAGGAGGACAATCCCACGGGGAAAGCACTGCTGCTTCTCAGAGATATTTATAAGAGATGGCAAACCCCTGTCGGCTCGAGCGGCCCTTTTGTTGAGTGAACACCAACGTCCAGACCTGTCGTTTCTTAGCCTCGCTGCTCAGTGATGTATCTTGAGGGCTCTCTTCCCTTGCTCGCTCCTGACATTTTTAATAGACTAGTAATAATACCCCAGGCTGCATGCAGCAGCAAGAAGAAATGCCTGTCAAGGGTCTGATTTTCAAAAGAGCCTAAGCATGAGTCCCACTGAGAGTCAACGTGCTCCTAAACCTCCTGGAAAATCCCCCACCCTCAAGTGCAAAGTGGTCACAAACAGGTGCGAGAGTAGGCAGCAAAGCACTGTATGTGGTACTGCAAGGAAGTCCAAATCAAATGCACCAGACTCTTGGAGAGTCATAGAATTGTAGGACTGGAAGGGACCTCAACAGGCCATCTAGTCCAGTCCCCTGCACTCATGGCAGGACTAAGTATTATCTAGACCATCCTTGACAGCTGTTTGTCTCACCTGCTCTTAAAAATCTCCAACGATGGAGATTCCACAACCTCCCTGGGCAATTTATTCCAGCGTTTAACGAGGTGGAAATTGCTGTGGGCACAGCAGAAAAAGCAACTAGGAGGAGAGCATGGGGGAAATCAGAAGTCACAAATGTACAGAGAGTCAGTCTTCATTATACACATCCAAGGACTAACACAACAGGCATCCACACAGCAGGGGTCAGGCTCTGTCACACCCTGTGTCACAACAGCTGGTCACAGCCATATCTCATGGGACAGGAGTCACAATCACCGCCTCAGTGATTTCCCCGGTGCAAAGGGTTGCTGTTCCTTACGGAGATCCAGACTGCCAGGGAAATGACAGAGCTCGGACACTATGATGATTCTGGCTATATAAATACCTAGGTCAGTTCACGCTTAGGAGAATGCCTGTGTGTCCATTGCTGCAGCATCCAAAGTGCAACTCCCATCTTTTCAGGTGCTGTGTATTTCTACCTGCCATCCATGCATCTGATGAAGTGGGCTCTAGTCCACGAAAGCTTATGCCCAAATAAATGTGTTAGTCTCTAAGGTGCCACAAGGACTCCTCGTTGTTTTTGCGGATACAGACTAACACGGCTGCCGCTCTGGAACCAGCAAAGGGTTACTGGCATTTCTATTAAAGGGGAGGGATGGGAGCAGTTAGCACCCCTGATTTTTATGTCCTCCCAAAGAGCTGTGTGCACAGATGCCGCTGTGTGGTGCTTTCAGCCGTTTCACCTGCCCGGCTGGGAGCATGTGAGACCCCTTGGGGCTCTGGCCCCCGGCGTGCCAGAGGTGACCCTGCTCTTCACGTGTGCACTCCTGACTGGGCAGCTAATGGCTGAACCCACCTATGTTTCTACATCTGCACCAAGAGCTTCCAGTTAATCTGTAACAGGAATGCGGCACCCGAGCGCCGAACATGGCTCACCTCGTGTTCTTGATGTTCATTTGCAATTAACACCTTGTACAAAGGGGACTAGGTGGGAAGGGAGAAAAAGCACAAGAAAAACAGACACAAAACAAAGCAGTCTGTAGTCCCCTTCCCTTGCATTAGGGCGCAGTCTAATCTGCAGGCATCTCATCTGCATGGAGTAGGAAGGGACAGGGGGACTGACAAGAGTATTTACCCAGTTGCTTTGGGGACCTGCAAAAAATGCCCCCCTTGGAGTGAAATCCTCATATGTAGTGGGGACAGAGGGCAGGTGGAAAGGTCTCGGCGCTGCTGAGCAAGGCAAATAGAGCATCACAATGTATTTAAGCACAAGATCATGCAAACCATGGGGAAAGAGAGAGGAGGGAAACCCATTCCCAGAATTCCTCTCTGCTTTCATTCCAGTTTCTAACAGAGCAGCCTGAAGTGCTGGGGGATTTGGTGAATGGCAGGGCAGGCGAATCCGTTTAGATCAAATAACCAGCACCCCAAAGCTGCCGTTGAAACTCACAGGAAGCACGAGACATTTGATTGCTGCTATCGCTCCTGTCTCTGTGTTTCCAGGCTCTGAGCAGGCCCACGAACAGTGGAACCTCATGAGACCGGCCCAGCCAAAAGCCCTGGGAACCTCCCCACAGCCTCTCTCCTTGTCACATGTCTAGCCTGGTTTTTGCAGTGCCAGGCGGCTTGAAGGGATCAGTAAAGCAGTGGAATTCCTGAGTCCAAACACCCAATCCCCCCAGCCTTTATCGACTGACCCACTCCGCCTGCTCCCTTCTGCACCCTTCCCCATGCCTGGTGCTGCTTCTACACCTGTGATGCTGCTGCTATGGGGCAGGAGGGCCATGCAGAAACACACAGTACAGGCAAGGGCCCCTGCTAAAAATACAATGAGCAATGGGAAATGGTATTTATAGAGCCACTGACTCTAGAGATGTCCCTGCTACCTCGATAGCCTCAGTTCCTTCCAGTTGCCCCCTACTGTACATGAGAGATTCTAGGACTGGAAGGGACCTCGAGAGGTCGTCGTGCCCAGTCCCCTGCCCGCATGGCAGGACCAAATACTGTCTAGACCATCCCTAATGGGCTGTGGCTTTCTTAATGCTGCATTTGCACACGTGGCAGGACAATACCTACAACCTGCAGGGAAGCAGACATGGAAAGAGTGGCTTATCCCTCAGTGCCTCCTGACGTAGCTGTTAGTATCTGCAGGAACTGGACATCCTTTGCCACAAGTACTACATACAGAACCACCCACCCAAGCACGGAACATTCCTGACCAACTTCCTATTTAAATAACCCAGTTCTGCCTCTAATTTCCCTCTGGAGTTTGACGTATATGTTGTATTAATCCTTTCCATTTCTAAATGACACTGAAGTGTCACTGCGAGCTATTAGGCAGCTGCCATGCTCCTCCCCAGAGATGGCTGCATTTTAGCCCTTAACCAAGCAAAACATGTTCAAGATCATAGGAGTTTTGCCTGACTGTGGACTGCAGAATGGAGCCCATAGCTTGCAAAGTGCTGTGAGATCCTCCTGATACATTCAGGAGCCCAGGGTGACTGACTGCATCACTACCAATGGAAGGCGGATTAGACTATTGTGTTGTTCTCATAAAGCAGTCAAGACAGATTTCCCGTTCTTCCTACCCCATCCTCCTCCCCAGGACTAGATATCACCCCATGCCGCCGGGGCTATTTACTCACAGGCGCTTAGCTATACACAAGTGCTGCGCCCTAGACCTGCGAGTTTTGTTAATAGGGTTGATCCAAGTCCTTGATGAACTTGAGAGCATTTTCTCACCATACAGGAAGTCAGGGTTAGCTGAGTCGCCATGGGAACAGTAGGAAAAAAATGTGGACAAGATGAAACTTCGGAGAGCAGCTTAAGGGCTGCACAAAGAGCCACATGGAAGAACGTGAGAGGAAGAGAGGAGCTGGAGACGCCGCTGTGCGCTGCACAGGCGGCCAGGGGTCCAGCCTGGACATCTGAATATCATCTCTCTCCTCCCCCTTCAACACAGAAAGGCACATGGGTGCTGATGCAAATCCACCTTGCTCTGGTGAAGCCAACAGATCTTCCCTGATTTACCCCCTCTGAGGATCTGGCCCAATATAGATAAAACAAACCAACCAGAGGTAACACTGACCCCACTTCCTACAGGCCAAAGGTTCTTGATGCTCCTTCTGGCTAAATTACGCTAAAGCCCTGGGCCAATGGGACTCCTCCGACTTTAATGGCGTTACTCCTGTTGAGACAGGTCCAAATTCTCCTTCACTAGCCAGGGACAAGCCGTAGGACTCCTCAAAGGCCAGATTTTCAAGCGCTCGGCACTCAGCAGCTCCCAGAGCCACCAAGAGCCGGCCCAGTGCACTGGCTAAATGGCCAAATCCTGATCTACGGGACCTGATCGAAAGCCTGTTGGAATCAATGGGACACTCTCCCTGGACTGCAGTGAGTTTTGGATCAGGAGACCGCAGGTGTTTGGAGCAAGATTCGGAGTTGGTGTAAATCAACGTACCGCTATCCAGAGCGACACTGATTTACACCCGCTCTGGATCTGGCCCTGTGAAGGGCTCTGTTCTGCTGATGTCAAACAGAAGTGACTCGGCTAAACTGGATAGAAGGACCGGGCTGTAAAAGCTGGGGTAACTGAGAGCAGATTCTGGGTCCCCAAATTAAAGGTCCCATCAAGAACATTCCAGCCTTATTCCTTGTTTGAAGGAAACAAACAAACCTTTCTCTGCAAAACAGATTGTCACCAACAGCACACAGCTGTCTCCTGCCAGGCCTGGCAGGATTGAAACACGATTAAAAGGCAGAGAGGGGAAGTGCAGAGCTAGTCGGATCTTTCCACACAGATTCTGTCTAGGTCCCCCGTTCAACCACCAGCTTTTCTTTGCACGCAGCTGGCTGTGCTGGGCGGAGAGCGGGAGTGAAATGGAGCAGAGGCAAACAGCGCACAAGGAGGGGCAGGCAGCCCTCGGCCCCAGGCTGGAGAAAACGCCTCCTTTGCGCAGGGAGCTTTGCTCCATCGCCAGGAAAAGTTTGAAATCCCTAATTAATAGAAACATCACGTGGGCAGAGGTGTGTGTGCGCGAGAGACAAGCCCCAGTGTGTGATTAGCAGCGCCGGGCTCCTCTGGCGGGGTGAGACCCAGCTCCGCTCCGCTCCTCCCGGGACGGCTCCGCGCTCTGCAGCCGGCGCTCCCCGGTCCCCTCGGCTGGGCTCGGCGAGAGGCAGGGGGCGCGCGGCGGGGAGAAAGTTTAGCACAAACTTTTCGGGGGCCTCTTTCATCCCTGCTCCCCGCGATGCCCTCCGCCTACACCCAGCGCTCCCTGGCCGCGCTGCTGCTCTTCGGCACGCTGGCGGCCCTCATGGCGGTGCTCGCCTCCATCCTCCTCTTCCAGCTGCAGGCGGGCCGGGCCCAGGCCGGCTCCCCCGGCGCCTTCTCGGAGCGGGTGGCGAGGGTGCTGCTGCCGGTCTCGGCCGTGCTGGCCGCCCTGTGCCTGGTGCTCAACGTCGGCTGCCTCCTGCTCTGCCTCCTGCACAGCTACTGCAGCGCCGAGGTGTGCCGGGGCGCCGCCGAGCCGGACAGGTGAGCAGGGGAGGATGCTCTTGGCTGGGGCTCAGCGCCGTCCCCCGGGTGCTGGCAGGGAAAAGGGCCGGGGGGGCGGGGAGCATCTTGGGTGCAGGCCCCAGGGCTCGGTCCCCTGCCAGGGGGACTCTGTGCACAGAGCCTGTGGCTTCCGGAGGAATTGAACTCCTGGGGCTCGAGGGCCAGGGGCCTGCGTGGTCACCCTCCCCGTGCCACCCCCTGCCCCAGGGGAACTTTGCATGGGGAGCCCCTGGAGGAGCTGACCTGCGGGGGGCTGGTTACAGGCTCCCAGATGGCCCGGGATAACTGTGCAGAGGGGCGGGGCAGGAGGACTCAGAGAAGTTAAAGACCTCCCTTGGCAAGGGGTAAATGGGAGATCTCCCCCCTCCGCCCATTGCACCAGCCTCCTCTGCGGCTTCATGCAACTCCTGCATGGGGCGAAGTCCCAGCTGAGCCTACATCAAAGCCAGTCACTGACCTACAGCCCTGCCAGGCCTGGCACTCTGCTGTCTCCCACTTGCCCAGAATCCACCCATGCAGTCCCCATTCCCTGTCTTTTTAACCGTGGCCCTCAGGAGACCTGGGTCCCAACTCCCTGCTCTGACACCGACCCCCTGGACAAGTAACTGGATCTTTGCCTCGGTTTCCCCATTTTCTAATGGGGATCCCAGCCCTGCTCTGCCTCCTAGGAGTGCATACAGATACGCTCCTGGATGAGCTACATTGCTTAGCATCATTATTAGCTACCTGACTCTGCTAACGTTCATCTTCGCAGTGTCTGGCTGTGGGTTGTCACCCATTTAATACCAGGTGTGTGTATTTGTGCTTAGTGATTTTATTGACTACCAGAGCAAATTTACAGCTGCCTTTACATCCGGTGACCGTAACCCCGTACTGAACCCCCCCAACACTTGCATAAATACCCAGGGCCAGATGCTCAGCTGGTGCGCATTAGTGTCGCTCCGTTGACTTCAGTGGAGGGAGGCCAACTGGAACCAGCTGAGGATCTAGCGCGACATATGTAATCCCGTCTTTAGCCAGCAAGACTTGCCGGAGAGATACAGCCCCGGAGCATCAGCAGGCGGCTAGAGGAGACATTAGCACACACAATCCATCCCGTGTAGACTGCGGCAGGGGGGCAAGACATTAGTTGAGCACTGGCTATTTTAACCTTCTGTAGTGCTTTCCACCGGAGGAGCTCAAAGCACTTCTAGCACATCAATGAACCGAGGCATCCAAGAGCCTAAATGCTATTAGATCTGTTTTGTAGGGAAACGGAGGCACCGAGATTAAATGGCATGCCCTAAGGTCACAGAGTGAGTCAGTGGCAGAGAACCCTGGAGTCCTGATTGCCAGGGGTGGCTGGTAGTCCCAGGCCCACTGACTGCTAGCAGTGGCTCAGTTTAGCTCCTCTTCTGTGTTTCTAGCGGCTGTGGCTGGCTCATTCGCAGTGACGAGCCTGGGCACCTGTAGAAGCCGCTGGACAATAGGGGAGCCACCACCTCCTGCCCAACCAGCTCTCCAGGCACCCCAGCTTCAAAACCACACTGACACAGGAGAGATCTTAGGGTTAATATTCCCCCCACACACCGCCTCTCACACCCACAGCTAACGCTGCAATTCATTAGCATCCCAGACACTTAGCAGATTCTATAGTAGGAAGTGCAAAGTCAGAAAAGAAGGCCAGCTGGCCAGATCCTGCATCTGTTTACCCCAGCTGGAGTTCTGGCCCCAAATTCTGTCCTTATTTGCAGTGCTTACAAGTCGTCCCCCCGCCCCTCCTTCTTTTAGGAATTGGCGAGCTGGGTTCTCTTGATTGGTGCCTGGGTGTGTTTGAAGGTGACCTGCACAGGAATACGACTCAAGACCCCAAATCATTAACCCAGAGACACATGTTGACTTAATACTTGCCAGGACATTTACACCTGCAAAACCATTTCTGAACACTGCCTCTTTCCTTGGCCTGCCAGGAACCCTGCCTGGGTTCACTGCATCCCTGCATGGCTGATACAGGGCTGGTTTTGGCCAAACACATGCACCTCACCTTGATTGGGAAGTAAAGCGGGAAAGCGATTTGCAAATATTTGGTTTGAAAATGTATCGACGTCAGAGAATGTCTACGGGTACAGGCCCCTCGGTGTGACTAACGCCACGGACTTCAGTGGAGTCACACTAGGGATCAATTGGACTAGAGCTGAGCGAAATTCAGAATTTCCATCCTGCGGGAAATTCCAATAGTTCAACATTTTGTTTTCATCCTACAGCGAGACAAAATGTTAAACATCTACATTTTTCGTGGAATGAAGAATTTCCAAAAAAGGTCAACTTGGAAATGACAAAACATTTGGTTTTGGCCTTTCCGATCAAAATGAAACACTGACATTTCTCGAATCAAACGTTTGGTTGTGGATTGTTACACCTCGAGTCTGTTGAACGTTAAACTTCATTTCCTTGTGGGGTCACGTTGCCTCATGGGAGTTGTAGTTCAGAAGCCACATGGCCCCACTCTGCCCTGTGGGCCAGGCTCCCTTGCTAGATTACATCTCCCAGCCTGCACCTGAAGCCACATGACTTGTGGTGGCCCATACTGCTGAGTTGGAGGGAAACCTGCATTGCATCGTGGAATATGTAGTTGGACCAGGGAGTCCAGCCCATAGCAAGCAATGGGACCCAAATTACAACTCGCATATGGCAACATGCACAATAGGGAAATACAGTTTAATGTTGAACTGATGGAAAAACTAAAAGTTTTGGGTCCGTTCAACAATCCAAAAATATTTCAGTTTGGGTCCAACCAATCCAAACCAAAACTTAATTTGACTTTCCCAACAGAAAATTGAATCACTTCTGCAAAACCAAAATTTTCCTGTTGAAAAGTCTGATCTTGTGGCAACCATGTTTTCCATTGGAAAAATCATTGATGGCAAAATTCCTGACCAACTGTAAATTTGACCCAGCACCGAATACTGAGTTCAGATCTTAAAAGTTTTATTTATTTTCAAAGCTCTGCAATTCATCTTTGAAATCCCCCATTAAAACTGGAGCAGGTCAATCAGCTAATTAGATAGCTAAATGCAAGGTCATACATCTAGGTGTGAAGAATGCAGGTCACACTTCCGGGATTGGGGCTGTATTTTGAAAAGCAGTGATTTGTTAATGGATTTAGGGGTCATGGCAAATAACCAACTGAACATGAGCTTGCATTGCAAGCTCGTGGCTAGGAGAGCAAGTACAATCCTAGAATGTATACGCATGAGAATGTTGACTGGATGTAGGCAGATGTTATTACCCTTGGGTATGGCATTGACGAGAGCGGTTGTGGTGTCCACTCTTTAGGGAGAAAGTTGGTTAAGTTGGAAAGGGTTCAGAAAAGAGCTACAAGAACAATACAAGGTCTGGAAAACCTGCCTCACAGAGAGAGACAAAAGAAGTCCAGTTTACCAAAGAGGAGGTTGAGGTGACTTGATCAGACTCTATAATGGAAAAATTTCTGATAGCAGAAGGGTCTTGACTCTCGCAAAGGCAGGACAAGATCCAATGGCTAGAAGCTGAAGCTAGATAACTTCAGACTAGGAATAAGGTGACCAATTTGTACAGTGTGGGTAATCTTAGAAACATACAAATGTCGGGCTGGATCATCACATCCAGCCCCCTGCACTGAGGCAGGACCAAGTAACCCGAGACCATCCGTGACAAGTGTTTGTCCAACCTGTTCTAAAAAATCTCCAATGACAGGGATTCCGTCTCCCTGGGAAGCCTGTTTCAGAGCTTAACTACCCTCATAGCTAGAAAGTTTGTCCTATTATCTAACCCAAATCTCCCTTGCTGCAGATGAAGCCCATTATTTCTTATCCTACCTTCACTGACCCATTGAAACAGCTTCCCTGCACCTCCAGATGTGGTTGAGTCTCCATGACGTGGGGACTGGCTGCCTTTCTAGAAGAGATGCTCTAGCTCAACCAGAAGTTATGGGCCTGATGCAAAAAAAAAAAGGGTGATGAATGAAATTCTCTGGTCTGTGCTGTCAGGAGGCCAGACACGATGATCCTAGCATTCCCTTCTGGCTTTAAAATCTATTAAGCACACCAAAATGTTCCTGAAGCAATTTGATCCTTGCTTACAGGGATGGAATGTCACTAGTGGGTAGAGGAGATGGAGACTCAGGACTCCTGGGTTCTACTCCCAGCTCTGCCACTGACTGACTGTGTGACCCTGGGCAAGTCACGTCCCCTTTCTGGGCCTCATCTCAAAGAGCTAAAGAACCCTATCAGCCTTGTTCCTGCATAGGGGAGATCGAGGGCAACCGCTCAGGAAGGGCAGTGAGGGGAGGGGAACCCTAGCTAACTGCAGGTGCATCTTGCACAGGGTTAAGCATCTAAAGACAAGGCCTCAGACAATGGAATCAGGGCACTCACCTGATCCCATGTCCCCAAGGGGCAGAATAATTCTCAGACCGTGTCCTCGCTGTGAGGGGAAATGAAACAGACCCAAGCTGCAGAGACCCATCTGAGCTCAGCAAACTGGGAATCAGGACTCCTGGGTTCTATTTTCAGCCCTGCCACTGAATCACCCTGTGACCCTGGAGCAAGCTACTTCACCTCTTTGTGCCTCGGTTTCCCCTGTTTGTGGAACAGGGACAGTAACTCTCTGTCTCACAAATGGGGTGAGAGACTTAATTAACCGATGTGATTAAAGAAGGCCAACGAAATTCAGAGGATGTTTCTGTGACCCGTCTAGCTGGACCCAGCCTGCTTCTAACACCAGATTACAGAAAGGTTCTGGATTTCCCTCTATAAAAGTTGAGAATGTCCCAGGTTCTTTTCATTCTCAGTAATTTATTCTGAGCCCATGAGGGCAAAAGAACAGTGTTGGGGTGGGGGAGCTATGACAATGCCTTTTAGCAAAGGGCTTCCCACCTATGAGACAGCTGGAGCCAATGCACCAGTGGGGAGCTGGGATTTAGATCCATCTTCCAATCCAGTCCCAGTGCTTGGGCCATGCACTTTGCTGACACTGGGCCAGACTCCAGGAAAGCCCCCCCCCCAACTAATTTGGCTTAAATAGTTTCTCCTAAATTAGCTCCCCCCCCCCACCACCCCACCCCACAGTTCTTAAGCAAGGTGAGAGGCTGTTATTGCTTCACCCTTCTGCTGCTGAGGGCATGGGCGTCCCTTGAGAGCTGAGTGGACTGGAGGACTGATGGGAGGCAGCGTGGAATCAGGACTCCTGGGTCCTGTTCTCTCTGCCACTCTTGCTGGATGATCCTGAGCAAGTCACGTCACTTCTCTGTGCCTCATTCTCCCCATCTGTAATGTGGGAGTTCTACCCCTATGGGGGGTCAGGGTTGTGACACTCAAATAATGTTTGTTTGCAAATTGCTTTGAGATCCTAGAATGGAAAGTGCTGTTATGGTCTAAAAATGCCAGCCCGTGAAGGGTTAATTCTCACAGCCCCTCCGCCCCCCTTGACATGCGATTAGCTATTGTCTCCCCATGTTGGAGCTTGTGTTTTCATCCTGGCCATCCCCATCTCTGGGGGACAGCCCTATGCCCCGAGAGGAGCCGGGGCTCTGGTTTCATTAGGAGATCTGCTCACGTAGCAGGCGGCTTTCCCACGTTGGGCCTGTCACGCTGCATTACTGCTCCGCACTCAATAACCCCAGCCTGCTCTAAACAAAGGCTGTTCCTCCCCCCTGCTAATCCCCCAAATCATGTAATTAATAAAACAAAGTGGCTTCTCTTCCCCGACAATGAGCGAGGAGCAGGAGCCATTCCAAGTTCTATTAACAGCTCCGGACTGCAAACTCCCAGCACTAGGCAAGCCAGACACCCCAGGAGTTCAGCATTGAAAAGATCCTGTGGCCTCCATCTCATCCACCTTGTAACCTCCCAGCTAGGGGAAGGGCCGTTCCCGGGACAGCGTTTGGAGGCTTTGCCCCATTGCCAAACCCTAGGTAGCCAGATTCCGCAGAAAAGTATACTGCAATTTTGGTCACGCTGGCCAGAGCATCGTTGGTGTTGCCTAGTCCTCAGGTAGACTTATCTCTGCTTTCATCAGCTGCTGGCTAACGAGCTGAGTTAAAGTCCCTTCCCTCTCGCTTGTTCCTTATGCAGTTACTCCAGATGCAAGCAGAGCTGTTACTCTTCTGCTTTCTCAGACTGGGGGGGGAGAGGGGGGGTACAGAGGATTCCCCCACACACACCATAGGCTGACCGGCCCTTCTGAACCAGCAGGGCTGAGTACCAGAGATCAAACTCTCCTGGGTAGTGTTTTCCCAGCACCTGATCTCACTGACCCGCCCAAGTCCGTGCGAAAGCTCTCCCTAGGGAGAAGTGATGGAGGGAGAAGGTTAGGAAAGACACTCGCTCACTTCAAAACAAAAAGACCCAAACTCCTTCCTGGCAGAAGGCTCTTGCATGTCACGAGTTGTTAGGTCTCAAGTCAATTCCCAATGCACAGATACCCACATTACAAAAAGAACTGCCACTATCAGCACTAACTGGCCCCTTTGCCACCCAGTTTTTGAGGCCAGGGACTACCTGGATCTAGGAGACTGAACTGCCCTTCAACTCCTGGGGCAGTTCCTCAGTGGCCAGGCCACCGCACGCATTGCCAAGAAGGGTGTGTGTGTGTGCGTGTACTGCTCAGAACAGATAGAGTGCCGCTCGCCAGGGGCTGCCAACCCCTCCCTATGTCAATCATTCCAATGTCACAATCCGCCACTTGTCTCTCCTGGATGAGCTACACAATCCTTTCCTTGTCTCCTACAGAGACAGTTGTGCTGCAGCATCTTTCAATCACAACCTTTAACCACACTTCATCCTACAGCACTGTGTGTCCTTTTCCCATTGTGTCCCCTCCTTTCATGACTATGTTCCGCTCTCACAATTAACAAGAGGCTGGCGTGCCGGCTTCCTTCAGTGATAATGGCCCATGAAGTCCCATAAGTGGAGTGCTGAGGTTCTGTAGGTCACCTCGGCTGTAATGAAGGGAACAAAAAATCTCAAGCAGTTTTCGCAGGGTGGATAAGAACAGCTATTGAATGCCTGCTCACTCGCATCTAGTGGCAGGGCTGCTGGCAAGTCTCAAGGGAGTCTGTGCGCCCGCAGAACCCATCCGGTGTCACAACTGGAACAAGCTGAATCTATCAAGCGGAAGGGCTCAGATACTACCGGGAGGAGCATGGAATACAGGCCTAGATAGGAGCTGACCTTTGATGTTTTATGCACTGTTCAAAAAGAAGGCCAACCCTTTCCAAACTGTGCATCTAAATGAACACAGCTAGGGTCTGAGCTAAAGCAATTCAGCACCGAGGATGAAAATGCAACCTGGCTTTGCTTAGGTCACTGCAGCAGCCCTTCACCCGTTCATGCTCTTTTAAAGGGCGATAGACTTAGGGACGAACACGCATCATCTTTTCTCTTTGCTCTTCGTTTCTTGTAATTGTCTTTAAGAAGCATTGAACTATTTCTCGCTCCCACCAGCTTTTGCCCTCTTTTCCAGCTTGCAGCCTCTTTAGGTTTATCTCCCTCCTTGCAGAAAGACAGAGCTGAGCAAAAACGGCTCTTGCTTTATTTGCTTTTTATGTAGCTGCATCAGCAGTGTTTGGAAAGGGGGTGGTGAATTTGGGCTCCCTCTGCTGGCTGACTGAACCTCAAGCAGAGCTAACGGAGCGTAGGCTCCTTTGTCAACTGGGGATTGTCTCTTCGGTTTTCATGTCTCAGCCAACAAAACAGTGGGTGGGGGAACAGGAAGGAAAGCGATTGAAATGAAGACAACCTTGCCCCACCGCAGTAGAACAACGGCCCAGGCAATCCTCTCCTCTTAGAGCTGCACAGCAGATCTGGGATTAGGTACTTCGCTCCCCCTGCACGTGCCTGCAGAGACCAGAGTAGACCGCCCCATGCACACTGCTGAGGGGAGAATTTGGCTCTCTAGGAAGCAAGTTTAGAGCTTAAAACGCATCACCGCATCTCTGAGACGCTCTAGAACTTGCAGCGAATGCACTTTTCACCCCAAGTCCCGATTTTGTACCGAGGAGCTTTACTGCATGTAGAAACCCCTAGCCTGGGCCATCAAACTAGAGCCAAACCCCAGCCTCTTAGCTCCATTTGAATACTGGGGCCTTGGCATAGCAGCTGTGCACTACTTTACGGAGACTCCGAGAATATAAGCGCTTAGGGTCACTAGGTGACAGAGTCAGTCCCCTTGCAGGTGCAGGAAAGGCCTCTGATCAGATTAAAATGATACTTCACGGGGATCAAGGCAGTGGGCATCACTAGATATTGCTCTGTTTTACCACTGAAGTGTTTCTCTCTCTTCTGTTTTGCAGAGCCGACTGGTTCCTGTTGGACAGCCGGATGATTCGGCATGTTGCCATTGGCTTGTTCTGCTGCGGTGTTTCTGTCTATTTAGCAGGCAAGGATTTTCATTTCTCTGCCAATGCTGGGATCTCATTCCGCCGGGAGGGAGGGAGGGCTCGGCCCCACACATTTCATCTAGAATGCTCAGGCCCCTGCCTCCCCCTGGTGCTTTGTAGGTTGCTGAACATCTATTTATAGGTCAGGCTGCAATGATGGCTTGTTTCCCAGCCGGTGTCACCAGGTTCCTGAGTCCAGGTTTATTCCTGCGGTGGTGGGACCGGAATCCTGTTTGCAGCCTGGCTGCAGCGTAACTTCTGGAGAGCCCTTCAGCCAACCACCCTGAGCATGATGCCAGCCAGGGCTGTGCCCGAGGAAGGATGGTGCAGCAGTGCTGTGTGGGGACTAGGGCCAGCTGACTTCAATTCCCTGCTGTGCCAGAGGCTCCCGGCGTGACCTTGGGCCAGATCAGTGAACTCAAGGGAGATTACGCACCTAACTACCTTTGAGGATCTGGGTTTTCATCTCTCTGGGCCCCAGTTCCTATCTGTAGACCAGGGATAAGAGTCCTGTTCTGGCTCATGGGAGGTTGTGAGGTGCTCAGATCCTGCACTAACAGAGACCACCGCCAGACCTACTGTGCCATCTTGGCCAAGACACTTAGCTTCTCTCTGCCTCAGTTTCTCCCTTTGATGAGGCCATAACACTGAGAAAGGAGCAGAAGGCGGCTGTGGTGTTTTGGGATTCGGGGGCAGGGGAGGAGAGGGACAATAGCAAGTAGTTTTAAAAGACTTTATTGTGACCTGGTTTTTGAGATACTGTAACGGTTCTGCCACCTGTTTTACGCGGGAGAAGCTGCAGCACAAGCCCTGGAAGGGAGGGATTCAAAGGCACAAGAAACATAGCCCCCCCCCACCAATCCCCCCAAGATGCCCCTCCCCTGTGCTGGCTTTCTCCTGGAGATTGGTGGGGAGAGCACACCTCCGTTCTCCTTAGAGTCTCTCAGAGGGGTGGCAGGGAAGATCAGCTGTGACAGGCAAGTCCCAAAACCCAGCCCCTGGCTTGACACAAACAGGGCAACTAGTCAATGAGCTAGCTAGGGCCAGGACATCTGCCCACGGAGATCACAGCCCTCCACTGGGCCTTTATATACCACGCGGGGCTAGTCACTTGTAGCTTTGGCTTCAGAAGCTTTTAAAAGGAGTCGGCGGCTCTCATCCCTGCACGTCCCCAGAGACAAGGCGTGTGGGCAGCGTCCTCTCTTGACACCCAGGCCATCCAATGCTGCAAGAAAATAGCAGAGAGCTCACTAGCAAGTGTTGTCACTGATGAGCACCTTGGAGGCTCAATGTGGCTCAGCCAGGACTCCCCCCAGGCGCCAGCACTGCGGAGAACCCCCCTCGCGCTGCCTCTAGGAGCAAAGGAATTGCCAGGGTGGATCAGCCCAAGGTCCAGCTAACCTAGGTTCCCCTCTCCAACTGGGGCCGCTGCCAGCTGCTTCAAGGGAAGGTGTAAGAGTGCTGTGGGGGTGGGATAACCCAGACCCAGGGAAAGTCCCCTCCTGTCCCCGTCTGGATCGCTGAGGAGCCGGATGCCAGGGGCCAGGCTGCGGCTCTGTTAATGGAGCCCTTGCAGGAGTGGGGCATTCAGACACCTTTTTTTAAGATTTCAAAATAAAAAATTAAATCCAATTATTTAGCAGGCAGTGTGGGCACGGCCAGGCGCCAGCTGCTGGTAAAGAAGGAGCGGAAGAGCAGCACAGAGGAAAAGCAAACACCGAGAACAGGAGAGCGGAGCACACAGGGATTAGTCACCGGTTAAGCCTCAGGAAGGGTACGGTGCATGCCTCAATGAGTGGGGTTTTCCAAAGCACCCAGGTAAACAAGACTCGTGTTCCTAACTCACTTAGGCCCAGATCCAAAAGGGAGATAGGCGCCTAAATACCTTTGAGGACTGGAAACTTGGGCGCCTTTGGAAATCCCCCTCCCCACCCAGAAATGGGCCCTGTGGGTAAGTGAAGTCCAGAATCAGGCTCGCGAGGCAGTCGCAGAGCCAAGGAAGCTGCTGTCGCTCAAATTGAGATGGGGCGTTCAATCCAAACTGGACGTCCCTCCCTAACAGCTCGGCCCTTGCTCAGCCGCAAGAGGTGGGCTTGGCCCGGGACTCATTTCCCTCGTGTGTCAGGCGACTGGCCTTCTCATCTCTGCCTTGCTCTCCTTCCCCTCCAGCTCTCTCCATCTACATGCTGCTGCTGTTTGAAATCGAGACTGGCATAACCAGCGCCTGCATCCTGTCCTCTGGGATCATCGTCCTGCTGATCACGGTGATGCACGCCTTCGTCAGAGCCTCCCAAGCCTCACGGCGCAGCCAGTCCGAGCTCTGCCGTACCCTCTACGAGAACGACTCCGCCCGGCGCAGCGACACCCCGGCTAGCGACCTCAACAATAGCAAGAACGTGGCTGCAGCCCGCCCGCGGCCAGAGATCCACCGAGAGTTCTCCTACCCACCATACATAGAGCAGAAGTCCCACCTTGCCTCACCAGGCAGAGGCAGCTTCACCTTGCCAGGAAGCCATAGGCCACTGGCTGAGAAGGACTGCTGCAACCTGCCCCGGACACACAGGACACTGTCAGCAGAGCCAGGCCTGCTGCAGGTACAAGGCAAGCCCTGGAACAGCGTCACCCAGGAGATGAGGAATATTTTGTCACGGAAGCCAGGAGTCTCTGGGAAAGATTCAACTTTGGTGTGAAGGCTGGAGTGGGGAAGTCTCATCCCACCGCTGCCAAGACCTGCATCTCCCTTTAGCCCTTAACATGGGCCAGTCTCCGCTCCGTCCCCACCTGAACAGCTGAGATACCTGCCCAGGAGCTCGACCAGACATCGGGCGAGGGGAAATCTACTGTCCCACCCAAATAAAAGGGACTTGGGATCCCTCCTGTCTGGACTGCACTGAGATGGAGGGGCTTGAGGGGGGTGCAGAGTTTTAAAATTATATCTTACTCCTCCTGAAGCCTGGAGGATTATATCCGAGCTCCTTCCCAGCTGGGCTGGGGCTGCCGTTAACCAGCCTAATGATTGTAGCGGGCACTTAGAGCTGGAAAGGTGGCTCTGTAAAAACAACAGCCTGCTGCATTCTGCCTCTTGCATCGCCCTCCTGTGAGTAAAGATCCTTCCCTGGCAACTCGGGTGATGCAGGAGACAGAACAGGGCCCATGACAGCTCTGCAGGACGGAGAGGCACCAAACTGCAGGAAAGGGAGTGGGGGTGAGTGGTAGAGTCACTTGTCTGATTAGAGCTGCACTTTGAAGTGCCCATCACCCCTTCCCTGCCGGGTCGGTCTGAGCTGGGAGGGGCAGACAGGAACCGGCTCAGCGCCGCGGAATGCCATTAGTTGCGTGTTAGAAGAGAGGGCAAAAAACCAACAGCCAGTATCAGTCATAGGAGAGTGGCCATCCTGTGTGCTGCCTTCTCCCGCAGCCCAGTTCCCCTCTGCACTCCAAGCTTTTTGTCCTTGCTGGTCCCTCTCCAGCCTGCTCCTGTTATTCCTTAGCTAGCGCTACGGCGGTTTAGACAGTTCACATGACAGACTCGCTCCTCAACACAGCTGCTGTATGTGACGGTGAAGCAGAGATTGCTAGCCGCTGCTGGGGAGGGTAGAAGACGACGCAGCTGGAGAGTTGGCTTGAGAGAGAGGAGGTTGGAAGGTGCGAGTGAGAGAGAGGGGCCTGCTGCTCACTGACCTGGCCTTGCCCAACGTTCCTTATCTCCAGGACTGTGCACAGACACAGCTCAGTCAACAAGATCGCTTCCTGTGGCAAAACCTTTGCTCCAGCATGAACCGCTGTGCCTGACCGCCTGCCAGAAACACGGCCCTGCACGTAAACGCCAGCCTTTGTAATCACTTTTCCTTGTTCTCTAATTGCCTACAAAGGACATGTGAAGGAAACAAGATCTTTGTTCACCTGGCCCTATTGCTGGTCTCCCCACTGAAAAGGCTAATCCTGGGGACAATGCAGTGGGGGCTGCCAGGAGATTGGTGGTTCTACAGACAGGGCTAGGATTGATGGCGCTGGAGCAGGGGAAACAAGAGCCCTGTTTGGTGCAACTGCGCAGTTAGTACAAGAGAGAGAAATGTACAATAGGAAATAAAAATACAACAGATGGTGCTGGTTACCGTGAGACACCCAGCTCTTATAACGGTGAATCAGACTCCGTTTAAACTCCATTGATTTCCAAAACCAACAAGGAGTCCTTGTGGCACCTTAGAGACTAACACATATATTTGAGCATAAGCTTTTGTGGGCTAGAACCCACTTCATCAGATGCATGGAGTGGAAAATACAGGAGCAGGTATAAATACATGAAAAGATGGGAGTTGCCTTACCAAGCGTGAGGTCAGTCTAACGAGACAATTCAATTGACAGCAGGATATCAAGGGAGGAAAAATCACTTTTGAAGTGGTAATGAGAGTGGCCCATTTCAGACAGTTGACAAGAAGGTGTGAGTAACAGCAGAGGGAAATTAGTATTGGAGAAATTAGGTTTAGGTTTTGTAATGACCCAACCACTCCCAGTCTTTATTCAGGCTCTAAGGTGCCACAAGGACTCCTCATTGTTTTTGCTGATACAAACTAACACGGCTACCACTCTGAAACCTGTCACCAAACAAGGCATTGATTTCCAAGTGTTTTATACCAGGAGTCCCAGCACAATGAACTGGCAATAAGAAAATCAGGGTTTTTTTAAAGCCATGTTTCCTGCCCTGCCATCTGGAAGGATCATTCCAGGCTCCCAAAAGCAGCAGTGTGATTGATTTATTCTGACTCCTGGCCATGTTACTCGTGTGCTAGCTTTAGGACAGCGATGGGTGCGGCATTGCAGGGAGCGAGTGGAGATAGAGACCACGTTTCTGGATTAACAAGCCTTGTGCGTCACACTATTAAAACACGGCTGTGTTCCTGAGCACACAGCAATGGCTAAAATACAGAGTTTCTCTCTTTAAAATCACACTCTTTGGGGTGTGATTGTTTGGGGTTATTCACCACTATCGAGAAATGCCAGGCTAACAACCTTTTTTCTGATCTCAAACTCCCTTAAGCCCCTTTCTTCCCAGCCCTGGGAAAACCACCCGCTTGTTAAAATCCTTTCCATTGGAAAGAAACATGAAGTTGTCGGCTCCAATGAAAAAACAAAACTGAAGCGACACCCTTTCCAACTGCCAAGCTGTGTGCAGGGCTTTTTCCCATCCCACTTCTTTATGGTGTCTAAAGAAGGTCTTTGGGGCACCTAACTACCTTGGAGGATCTGGGACGTGTGCATTCCAAAATTCACCACCACTTCCCATATATCTAGTCAATATCATTGCCCTTTGCTGCAGTGTCTTTCAGTTTGAAGGGGAATAGTCTTCTAAGCAACCTCACACAGACTGACCAGAAAGTTTAAGGGTGGAAGATTTCTCGCCCTTCCATCTGGCCAAAGAGATCACTGACCTGGGCTGGATGAAAAAGGCAGAGGAAGGCCAGTCTGGTCTGAAATCAGGAACTGGCTGGCGGATTCGGGGCTTGCAGGGCAGCGGCGCTGTAAGAAAACAATCACATCCACCAGGAGATAAGGACAACAGTATCCATGGGAGTGTGAAGCACCAGGGCTTCCTCACCTACAGCCTCTAAGCCTGGAGCCCTCCATGTGCAGCGTAAGGGCAAGTGTGGCCATTGGACATATCCATCTTTAATACAGGGGGGTAGCCAATGGAGGCTACATGGCCCCTATACCTGCCCCCTGGCATGTCAAGACCCACAGTCTCTGTGGCTTCGCTTCCAAGAGCTGTTGGAATTTGTTCCACTGTGTGTAAATTAGGTATAGCCCCAGGCAAGTTGGCAACACGGCAAAACAGGAGAACTCGTAGCCACAAACATCTAGTACAGAAAGTCACTTGGCACAGAACCAGGCATTTTGCCCCCTTTAGCCATGTGCTCGCAACAGGAAATTCAAGGCTGTTAGGTTTATGGAGCAGCATCTGTGAGTTTCGTTCCCACAATGCCCCTGACACTCAGGCCATTACGGCTCTTGGGGCGACGGACTGAATATCCTAGACTCACCCCATCTATTGACAGATGCTGGAGTAGCTTTCCTTGTGCTGCAAACAGCAAAATGCGTCCTCCAGCTACACTGACCAGCGTAAATCCCATCCACACACAGAGCCCCGCGAATGACCTAGCGAACAGTCCTGCTTCGGCAGACACACCTTTCCTCAGCACCAAAACATTCATTTATTATTATGGCCCTCGCCATGCTACAAATATGTTTAACACTGCACAAAAATGCTACATGTTACCCAAAAGCCCCCGCCCCTTTAAACGTAGGGAAAGAAGTTATTTTGCAGGAAACATTGTAAACAAGAGGCTTTTCTTCCCAAAGTAAGTGAACCAGAGTTTCACTGCAAGGCAAGGAGCTTATTCCTTTAAATAATAGCACAGAGTCACATTACGCGTGTAACTGCTTGGCCTGTCTGTAGTTTGCAGAGTTACAGCCCGTGAAGCCTTCAGCAGTCACAGAACAAACGTTCCTATAAAGCAGTAGGGCAGTTCTCAGAATTCAGGGTGTCAGACTCCCGAGCTACCTGCGGCCCTGAGCGGAATTCAGCTGATCCTTCACAGCGATGGCATGCTTGAGCAGCCTGTCGATGCTCTCAAAATACACGCTGCTGTCCATCATGTTCTTTATGGCGCTGAAACAGACCGGGTGGAACAGGGGACGCAGTTAATACCTTCGAGGGCTTCACTGGTTTAGAATAGACATGCACGCCGGCGAGGGGATGGCTATGGACAATTTACAGCTACATTGGGCATTTTGCATCTTCAAACACTAGCTAAGGGGTGGATTTCAGGGGAGAGACTGGCAGGTCTGTATTGCCCTCAACGGCCGGGGAAGAAAGAGTGCATCAGACTCAATGAAAAGAACTAGACCTGACAGTAACATTGCAGAGAGCCGTGCCTGCTGTCAACATGCCTCAGGCCTGACTCTCTGCTGAGATGGGGCTAGTTAGTGCCACTTGTGGGCTCAGTTCATCACTGCCCTGAACCTACACCAGTGCCAAGCGAGTGCAAACTGCCACCACTCTGATTTCTGCTGCATGACACTTACTTTGCAGTGGGGCGAATGGCTCCCGTGGGCACCTGGGAAGGATGAACTGTGCCTTGTGCTGGTGGAATGGGGGGGGGGCAGGAAGCTCTTACAGAATCTTGTGTGTGAGAGCAGCCAAGCAACACCCATAAATGGAAGCGTTTGGGGTTGACAGGATTTTAAATCAGAGGCCAAAAATGTCCAAGTCGAGGTGCCTAGAGTGAATCCATAATTAGGCTCCTAAATACTAGTGGCTGGATTTGGAGAGGTGCTGAGCACCCACAGCTCCCATTAACGCCAGGAAGAGTTGAGGGTGCTCACCCTCTCTGGAAGGCAGGCCCCCTTTATCGAAGGAACCTGTGTGCAGGTGCCTGGCTTTGACCTGCCGGGTTTGAAAATAGGAGCTACGTTTATTTCTTAAAATACTTCCCCTCCCCTCAAAGGCTTAATCATCGGTCCAAGCAACTGACCCCCAAAATAACCAACACAGCTTCTCGTCACTAACCATCAGGAGCAGGGAATACCTTGGGCACGACAGTGAGCTGAACGGTGCTTTCGATGGGGGTGAAAACACACCTGTACTGTGAAATCACCAGCGGGGAGGGGAGGGGGGAGAACAAACTGAGCCTCCTTGCCAGCTCCTTTGATTTACCACAGGTTTTAAAAAGGGAGGGCGGCTGCCCCAGAGAAGTGCAAACTTCAAAGCTCTCCCAGCACCCTGCTGTACCTGCAGGCGTACTCCACAGTATAGATGGCTCCTTGACTCTGCTCCTCCCAGCTCTGCATGTCAGCCTGAAAGGCAGATCACGG